ATCAGTAAGAAAGAGCCGCTAGACTTGAAAGTGCCTTAGCCTTTTTAGGGTTTAGGGTTTAGGGGATTCTTCCGCGCCCTTTAGGGTATATAGTAGAACCCTAAACCCTAAACACTCTACCAGGATTCAGGGCCCGTACTGGAGACTGTAGACTTCCTGCGCGCTCCGAGGCCAATGACTTGGCTGAGAAGTCAGAACCGTCAGAGCCCCGGGTGGGAGTTTGCAGAAGAGGGACACCGTTTTGGGATCCTACGATTGACCCTATGTAGCTTACGTCTGAGGAGTTATGGTATCCTAGTAGAAATAGGACGTGTAGGACAGGATGAGTAGTGTGAACAGTAGGGACATGTAGGAAGTACAGCGGGAGAGGGTTGTTGTTGATGACTTTGATGATCATGTAGTGGGTAGATTGAGAACCTTGTATATGCCAGTGCTAAAGGGCTTAGGGGATTGAAGCATCAGTCCCCCTTGAGGGGCTACAGGCGTCATATCGGGTTGCACAGAACATCATATCTTAGGTCATTCCCCAGCCCTGTAACTGTTAAATCATGGGCTGTCTATTAAGTTTATCTAACAGGAGGAGGCACAAGAATGTAACTCTAGCTTGGGATTTGGTTTTGGTGGCTTCATACCTCTTGGGCATGGTTCGCCGTAGGTATTCCAGCACGAGATGCAAGATCATCTCCTGATTATGGGGTACAGTATGTTGTTGTAAAGGATGGAATCTTCCTTTGTTCAAGCACCCAACAATCTCGAAGCCCTAAGTCCAAACCCTAAACCCTGTATTTCCCCTACCATCCCCATGCTACCACTACATAACCCCTACACGAGCCCTCCAAGAGGAAGTGTTGAACTCTAAAACCCTAGGTTCTCATCCCAGAGCACCCCGAAACCCTAATCCCTAAACCCTAAACCTAAGCGCTAAAACTTGGGTACTGCCCCCCCCCCTGAGTAACAGTTGGATAATAACTATAATACAGTTATATGTAGCCCTTAATAGGACCCCTAATATAGACTATTACTGGGGGGGGGAAGTACCCAACCTAAAACCTAAACTCTATTCAGGTTCATGTCCGATGAGGTGGATCTGGCAGAGACTTCAACCGAAGAGCAGAGACCCGGCTCCACGTATCAGGGCTTCGGGAGTGGGTTTAGGACTTAGAGTTTGGGGTTTGGGGCTTGTCGTCTAGGGATGAGGGGTTAGAGCTCGCGGAGGATCATTTAGGGATTAGGGTTTAGGTTTTAGAGATTGGGAGTTGGCACTAGTAGGATCTCCGGTTTAGGGTCAAGGGCTTCGTTGGGATTCGGCACTTAAGGTTTACCAACTAGGGTTTTATGGGTTCAAAGTATGCGAGTTTGTTAAAATAACCTCCATATAGAAAGAGCGATTCTCAACCTTGCTTGCCATCCGTAACCCTAAACCCTAAGCCTTAAACCTTAAGCAACTGCGCATCACCATCTCTGCGACCACTCAAGCTTTGTACTACCAGGGGTTTAGGGTTTAGCATTGAGGGTTTTCAGTAACCTTAGAAGTATGGGCCCCTAATATGCGCTCTTAGGCCTGTTGGGGGGATTCAATTGAGCCTTAAGAGTACACATAGGGTATATAGTAGGTATACAAGGATCTCAGGGTTTAGGGCCCGTGCTAGGAACCCATGGTTCCACCTTAGACTATAAGCTTTTCAGTAGCCCTGAAAGATTACTGACCAGCTAGGCATGACATGAAAGGCCATGATCCATGACGAACTAAAAGGATATAGTCCCCGCTGGGTAAATAGAATATGGGGTATACGGGGATCTGACTATAATATACCCAAAGCCAGATTGTATCCAGGATTCTATCTACTTAAGGGGGACTATACCTCCTATCAGCTGTGCTTGCTGCTTAAATGGATGGACCTCGGCCCTACACAAGGTCTTAGCGTCTAGAAGACGGCAGAGGCACACCTCTGCCTTATTTGGTCTCCGCTCGCTAGGCTGATTTGACAGCGGCATCTTGAACGAACTGAGTGAAATTTCTAGACACGGGGATCCTGTTCGTAACATCCTCCCAAGCATTATTTTTCAAGTCTTGTCACAGACTCCCAAAAGATACTCCAACATCTTTTAGAAACCTTTACATACTGATTAACATGGGCCCTACCATTCAAGTCTAAGCCCTGCCGGCAGCCCCGCCCATTTCGAGTCCCCCGGGCCCCCCATGAAAAAAATGCTCATTTTGCCAGTGGCTGAGCAATAGATACAGGAATGGCATCCGGGTTGTATGGGGACAAGGAAACAAGGCTGGCATCCATGCTCCTGTAGTACACATGACCCGGGCAACTTGCCGCTTTTTCTGCCTGGCAAACGCGGAAAGAACAACACACCTATACCCCTAAACTCTAAACCCTATACCCAAAACTTGAAACGCCGTGCTTCTCACTGCGACTGCCCAAATTCAGCTCCAACCCCGTTAGGACTTGTTTGTAAGTTACAGTAATATGGGTGTGTATATATCTATATATATAATAAAGGATTAGGGTGTCCTTACTGTGGTAACTTTACATAGGTGCCTTAGCAACAACCCAATTTTTTAAGGGGATCATAGTAATCTCCAACCCTACAACCTGAACACCTGAACCCTACACCCTGAACCCTAAAGCCTAAACCCTGAACCCTAAAGCCTAAACCGTAAACCCTGAACCCTACATCCTCAACCTTAAACCCTGAACTTTAAACCCTAAACGCTAAACCCTAAACTTTAAACCCTGAACCTTAAACCCTAAACCCTTCAATCCCAAACCCCAAACCCTAAACACTTGGCTGCCGGGTGATCGGGAAACTGAGGATCCTCGAGGAGTCTGCGAAGATCGACCAGGCATGTCTTGCCAACACACATGAGCCATAATCTAACCTCCTTAAAGGGGGTTATATAGTGTTTAGGATTTAGGATTTAGGGTTTAGGGTTTAGGGATTGGGGTTTAGGATCTAAACTCCTTAAAGGGGGGTATATATACGGGAGTATATAGGGTTGATAAGGGCGGTACGAGGAGTTTAGACTATGGCTCACATAGGGTTTGGCTATCTTGCCACCAGGTCGCAGAATGCTCAAGTTAGACCAAACTATGTCTTCTCAGCTCTCTCCCTACATGGGGGGTTCCCAACTTTATGGCTACCTTTTTTGGGGGCCCTTCTAAGAAAGATTGTCATATGTTGGGGTCTATGCTGGGCGCCCCTTATTTTGGGAAGCTACCGCATTTCGAATGGGCTACACTGTTGATTTGTAGTAGGCCTACCTAATACTGGACTGGTGGGGTTCCCGGTTCCAAATGAGCTATAGTCTAAACTCCTAGTATCCCCCTTCAATAATCTATGATACTCCCCTATATAATCCCTATAGAACCTCCCTTTAAGGAGTTCAGACTATGGCTCAAATGGAGTTCTCACATAGGCTTCTATAGGCGGCGCTCAGGGTCCCTCTGATGGATAAGTTTTTGCATCGAACCGGACAATTCAAAGCAACCTCACCCGACCTCACCCTAAATGGTGGTCCCTATAGGGAAAAGTACCAACATGGCCTTTGATTGGGATGTGATTTTTTTCTAAATAACCTTGTTCTAAGTGGTCAAGGACAGATCTTGAGCATGTTTGATCCGGAAATCCTTCTGCAAGGCCAGAGAAGTGGCCACGGCTCGGACTATTGAGTGCCCAGGGCTCAGCTAGGTAGGGAAATTCAATAGGGTCCTCAAAAGGGGGTTGTATAATAGATGCCATACGAGCTACACTCTAAACTCCTAAAAGAGGGCTACATAGGTAATTATAGAGGAGTATTGTAGGGGCTACTAAGGGGGAATACTAGGAGTTCAGACTAGAGATCATATATGATGTATTGTGTAAGGTTTCAAGGGATGTATAGAATTTGGGGTCTTTGCCTTGTACGTTTGTTACTTAGATGGCACACTTGGGTTTATGTGGGGATATATAAGCCCAAGTCCCAAGCTGTAAACAGTTAATGCATTGTAGCTTAGTATAGCCGCAAAAAACTCGTGGTTCGAAATACGGCTGCTTAGGCAGCCGTCCCGGCAGTATTGTTGCCGTATAGCTTCCACAAGAGTGATGGTCTCAATGAACAATCTGGGGCCAGTCTTAGGCATCCTTTTGTGCCTTTTGAGGTGCCAGTTTCCTTATCAATATAGCCCAGTACACAGAAAAGCTTTGCTGTAGTAATACCCTAAACCCTAAACCCTAAGCCCTAAGCCCTAAGCCCTAAACCCTAAACCCCAAGGCTAATTTGGAGTTAAGACTGGGAGGAAGACCCTGGGAGCCGAGATCGTGCCAGTCTATAATTGTTTCCCACTGGGAATATTCGAATTCTTTGGGATGGAGGTTTTATTAGGAGAAAGGGTTCTTGCATATATTCATCGCCAGGAGGTTTAATGTGCATTTCTGGACTACATTGAAAGATCTGATGCCATGATCCGAACCCTAAACCCTAAACCCCAGTCCGTTGAGATGTGGGCCTCCCGTGGCAGGTATAGAGCCTGGCAAGCCCTACGTTCTCAAGTCAATAATAGTCCCCTATAGGAGTTTAGAGTATGGTTCAGATCATCCATGTTGGCAGCAAGCAATGACCTTCCTCCTTTCGCTATTGCGATATCTGTACATGTTGCTGGTATTGTCAATGGAGAAAGCTGTTGCAAAGCGACGAGCAAAGCTACATGGAGTTTCCAGGTACTGGAGTCACCCCTGAATCCATTAGGCACATTCTAGTATGGCCTTCCCTTTATTACTTCTGATCGCAATAAGACTCAAGGCTCGCTACGAGCCTTATTGTTGCCTAGGCCTTAAGTGTGTGCTTTCAGAAGCAAGCCTCTCACCTCAACTTGGCTCAGGCTCAAGTTTTTGACCAGCCCCCCCGTGTTTCAAGAACTTGCATAAAGTTCGCCAGGATGGGAGCATGTGCCAGTCATATGCAAGATGCAGGTCTTCTCGGCGAGTCTTGCCACAAGAAGCAGGCCCCGATGTGGGTTGTGCGCGTGCAAGACGTGCTAAGCATGAAGGGAAAGCCACAGCCTCACCAAGAACTTAAGCAGAGAGGATTGCTGTGGTTGCGTGAACACACCAGTTTAAAGTCTTGGGTGATGTTCGTCTCCCATCAGTGGCTGGGCCGCAGTCACCCAGACCCAAATGGGGAACAGCTCCAAGTTCTTCAAGATGTCTTGAGGCAACTGATTGTTCGACGAATCAAAATCGAATATGACTTGACAACGCAGACCTACGTCAACGCCCGCATGTTGACCAAAGCGGAGTGCCACAACCTGCAACATGCGTATGTTTGGTTGGACTGGTTTTGCGTACCTCAGATGGTCCCCGGGCTTCCTACCACCACGCGTGAGGAGCAGCTGAACTACATTTTCTCCATCCCCTACTATGTTGACTCGTGTGAGCTTTTCGTGGCTTTGGTCCCAAGGTGTCTGCACGAGACAGGCGAACCGGTTGGGGAATCCACCTGGCTACAGCGCGGATGGTGCAGGACGGAAATGTGGTGCAAAGTGCTCCTAGGCCCCTTTCTGTAGGCTTTTTGTTTGGTTTCAAGGCCCTACGGGACCCTAAGCTCGAAACCCAAAGCCACCCTGAACCTTTAGTCTAATTTTCTGGGACATATTGACCGTAATTAGCTTTTATAAGCGCCATGCTCTAGCCCCAAACCCTTCACCACAACAAGGGGAACCGTTGAGGTTGCCAGATTACTTGGGATTCTTGAGCCCTTGACCCGAGGCTATCTGATGCATCCGCCATTCCCATTATTCTGGTGACTGACAGTGACGCGGCACAGTTTGCTGTGCCTGGGCAGTGGTTGAGAATAGGGTTTAGGGTAGGATTTGCTGTTTAGGATTTTAGGGCCTCGGGATTAGCCGTCAGCAAGCAAAGGTTAAGAACTTTGGGGACAACCCTGAAGGAAGATACGGTAAGTCGTCGCTGTGCATCAGGGGCCCTAAGCCCAAAACCCCAAGCGCGGAGTACACCCTAAACCTTAACTAAATCCCAAGCCTTATAGAATCCCTATATAAGCCACCCCTGTTAAGGAACCCTAAGCCCTAAACCCTAAACCCTAAACAGTTTAGCCAAGGTGCCTATGTGGATGCACCACCCGGTCCACTCGGGGCAGTTTGCTGTGGAAGCAGACCGTGGCTCCTGCTGCCAGGTGGATTAAGGGTTTAGGGCTTAGGGTTTAGGGCCTAGGGTTTAGGGTTTAGGAGTTAGGGCTTAGGGTTTAGGGTTGAGGGCTTGCGGCTTAGGATTTAGGTTTTAGGGTTTAGGGCTTAGGGTTTAGGGTTTAGGAGTTAGGGCTTAGGGTTTAGGGCTGAGGGTTTAGGGTTTAGGGTTTAGGGCTTGGCTTAAGTGATGTGGCATGGACCTCAGGGTCCCGCACTCTTTGAGGCTAGCTAGGTATATAGGTGGGTTGTATTACGTAGTAGCACCAGGGGTCCCTTCTTGTGTTCTCCCCTCATAGCCACCGAGTTCAGGGCTTAGGTCCCGCTGGGAGGGTCATGGGGTTCAGCAAGTATGCCTACACCCCATGTAATTTTGATGAGGATTTATACGGATGACGACCCCAGTCATCCTCACAATTCAGCCTGACCGTCAAACCCTAAACCCGAAACCCTAAACAGCAAACCCAAAACCCTAAACCCTAAACCCCAAACCCTAAACCCTAAGCCCTAGGATCTAGGCCCTAAGCCCTAAACCCCAAACAACCTGGCCCGGGTTCAGGATTTGGTAGTTTCCCAAAATAGGGGGACCCCAATATAGACCCCAAAATAGTATAATCCTTATGATTGTCACCCCAAAATGGTACCCTAATTTTGGGAAATCCTCATTTCGGGTTTGTTCAGGGTTTACCATCGGAGTGAGTGGTCTTGGGATGCTAACAGTCGCCCTGGTCCAGGTTGAGGGATCGGGTTGCCGGGGTTTGGGGATTTAGGGATTTAGGGACTTAGGGATTTAGGGTTTAAGGATTGAGGGTTTAGGGTTTAGGGATTTAGGTTTTAGGGCATTTCTTTGCAAGTTTCTTGGCATAGAAAAGGTAGGGCCATCTAGGTTTTAGGGGTCGCAGTTTCGAGTCTTCTTTGCGATTCTGGTCGACGAAGAGAAGAGACCAGATCTAATGTTTGAAGGTGAGGGTCTTTCAGAATCAGAGACGTTTGGTGACCTTACGAATTGAAACCTTCCTCTTATTCAGGATGATGATGACAAATCGTGGCTGCCAGCGTGAACAATGACAATCACCATTCCTGTCGTGAAGGTAGTTTTTCCTACGACTATGTTTTGTCTCCTTGTATCATTTGCCTATCGGTTTATTTCTTCTCGAGTGTCAAACACGGATACGCCCCACTCCCCAAAGAAAATGGAGTCGCACTTTACCATATGTAACCTTCAACATTGTTATATAACCCCTGTACAAGGACAGTTTACCGAAGGTTTTCCAACGTCCCCGCCCTAAACCCTAAACCCTAATTAAGTCCTAAACCCTAAACCCTAATTAAGCCCTAAACCCTAAACCCTAAACCCTGAACCCTAATTAAGCCCTAAACCCTAAGACCTAAAACTTTAAACCGTGTGCCAGGTGGTGCAGTCGGCTTTGGAGCGGAAGATGTTCGAGCTCCCGGGTTGCAGCTAAGGAACTTAAGGAACTTAAGGTTTTAGTTAAGGAACTTAAGGGCTTAGGGTTTAGGGTTTAGGGTTAAGTCACTATAGTAAGCAAACCCTACTCATCACTATATTACCCGTAATATGGTAATCTAAGCCATAAGCCTAACCCTAAACCCTAAACCCTGTATACTCGTCATATGGGAACTTAACTTAAGTTCCTTGACAGCAGCCCAGGCTAAAGCGCCGTGGCGACATGCAGAGATACAGGCTTCTCCTGGCACGTTTCGAGGACTTTAGGGCTTTCTCAGCCCTTCTTGTGAAAACCCTGAATCCTAACCCCTAAGCCCTACATCCTGAACCCTAGACCCTAGATCCAAAACCCTAAAGCCGCTGGGCCTGCGTAGGGTTTGAGGGCATGGGCCTTTTCGCAACCTGGCCCTGCTGAGTGTTGGCCTTCAAGTTGCATAAAGAATGGTAACTTGTTGGTCACAGGGCTTGTCTTTTCCCATCTTTGGGTGGACTTGGGATTCCGCCGCAAGGCGCTCTTCGTGGTCGTTGGCCGCGGAGAAGGGTCCCGAAAAAAAAATCCTTCATGCCTCGGCTAAGATGACCTTGGCTCTTCTCAGAATCGGGTCCGAAAGAAGACAGCCACTGATTAATTCCGTCATGCCAACGTTAAATCTGGCCCCCGAACATGTAATATTTAGGGTTTAGGGTTTAGGGTCTCTTCTGGTGAATATCTAGTATTCATGGTGGGACTTGTTGAATCTCAGCCCAAGCCCCCGAAAGGATCCAAAAAATGGAGCCCCCCCAAAAGCCCCCTAGGTTCCCCAAGGTGGTAGTGGAGCCTTTTTTTGGGGTTTCATTTTTGGGATCCTCCAGAGGCGGTTTATGGTTTAGGGTTGAGGTCTGGGAGTATGAAGGCATCAACCCCAACCTCTGCCACGCGGTTTAGGGTTTGGGGTTTCGGGCACTGGTTCAACTTCAAGATTCTAGCATGTAAGAATTAGTAGCTCAGTCCCGTGGATAACCTTGAAGCTGTTTTTCCTTGGGGGTTATATGTACATATGTATTATATATATATATAT